TCTCTCTCTCTCTCTCTCTCTCTCTCTCTCTCTCTCTCTCTCTCTCTCTCTCTCTCTCTCTCTCTCTCTTTTCCCCCCCCTCCCCCTCCTTTCTTTCTTTTCTCTCTTGTCTCTTGTCTCTTCTCTTCTCTCTTTAGTTATATATATATATATATATTTATATATATACATTTATATATATATATATATAGCCCCTCGTTTGTTGTCCTCTTCTCTCTCTCTGCCTACGGTTTTACCGGGCAGTTCTGTTTGTGACGACATATATATAACTATACCGGGCAGCTCAGTTAATCCCCGGGGGGTTTTCCTGGGCAATCAATGCTGGTGGACGTCAGAGTCTCTCAGGCCTTTGTTCCAAACTCTTTCCATAAGTTTGTCTACCTACTTTGTGAATGGGAGCTTTCTTTTGCAAGAAAAAGAAAAAAAAAGAAAAAGAAAAGACGATAATATTTATATATATATCGTCAAACAGAGCTGCCCGGTAAATCGTAGGCAGAGAGGGAGAAGTTTCACCGCGTCATTCACCGACTCATATATGTTTTATATGTATATATCGTCACAAACAGAACTGCCCGGTAAAACCGTAGGCAGAGAGAGAGAAGAGGACAACAAACGAGGGGCTGTGAAAGCTAGCTCCTTTGCCCAGTTCTTTCCTTGGAAATGAGGAGGCGAAGCGCCAGCCGCTTTGTCCTCGCCCACGACGAAGACAGCTCTCTCTCTCCCCCCGCTCCTCCCCTTCCCCCCGCCCCACACCACCACCACCACCATCCAAATTTGCAGGTAAAGCCAGCTCCTTTGACCCCCCCCTCTGTCCAACGAAAAGAGATCGCCAGCTCTGAATGAGGGCACGATGGACGCGGGGTCTCCTATTTTGTTGTCGTCATCGCCCGCGTTTTCTCCTTGGTAGTGGTCGTACCCGCCCTCTTCCCTCTCCTCCTCCTCCTCCTCCTCCTGCTGCTGCTGCTGCTGCTGCTGCTGCACCTGCTGGAGGTCTTCTGCATCCTTGTCATCGTCTTCGTTGTCACCCTTTCTCCTCCTCCCCTCCCCTTTGGCGGCGCCCCCGTCGGGGTCGCGACGGTAATTCCAGCTCATCGGGTCATCGCATAAGCTGGAGAATAAGGGTGTGCCACGTCATCATAAAACGTTTTTGCAACCTTATCCAGTTCCCCTCCCCCCCCCTTTTTTTCTTCTTTTTTTGAAGCTAAGCAGTGGTCTTAGGGGTCCGTCTGCAACGAGAGAGACGCGAACCCGCCAGTTGTGCGCCCCAGATCGGCTTCATCGGCGGCGAGCTCCTCACCAGTGCTTTCGTCTTTTTTCTTTTTTTCTTTTTTTTTCTTCCGTAAATAGCTAAAGAAAAAACGGATTCTCATCATCTCTGTTCCCATGGAAGTGTTAATCAACTTTTTTTTTTTTTTTTTTTTTTTTAATAACGTACGAGGCCAGCCGACGTAGACGAAGACGGTAGTCAGCGGCCTACTATTACTTCCATTTCTGGATTATGCGTGTCATCCTTGCGCAGGGGCCATGCTAATCTTCTCTGCGCGTACTCACACTAGTATTTTCCTACATGTATGCGACCGCAATTACGACCAGACCTGGATGAATCTGACCGCAATAACGTCCAGAGGTCCTCGTGTGAGTATGCCCTCTGTATCGTTCCAATTTTAACGGATGTCCCGAAGGGCCGTCTCACATTACTTCCACCCACATTCATTTTCGACAAGCCCGCCCGCCCTCCTCCCCCCCCAAAAAAAAAGAAAAAAAATCGCCCGCTACGTGTAGGCACTGGCGTTGGAGGAAGGTCCCATTGTGTTCCTTCTTTTTTTTCCCCTCTTTTTCCCTTTTCCCCCCTCTCCTTTTCCGTTTTTTCTCACCTGAAGCCCATTATGTTCGCATGCAAACGCAACAGCCAGGCTGTCCAGTAGAGAGCGGGAGATCGATCATCTCCAATTGATTCCCGCCCGCCCGCCCGCCCGCCCGCCCGCCCGCCCGCCCGCCCGCCCTCCGCCAGCCACGTGGCAGATTCTCCTTCATTCATTATCCACTATGAAAGAGCAGGCCATCAGGCGCAACACCGGGGGCGCAACACCGGTCGATTGCAGAGAGCACCTTCCCCCGTTGCTGGCGGGAGAGCGGGCCGAAGCACTGGGTAAACCGTGGGGGGACGCGCGGGGGGAAGCCCGAGGGGAAGCGAGGGAGGAAGCGCGGGGGGCAGAGCGGGGGGAGGAGCGGGGGGAAGCGCGGGGGGGGAAGAGAGAGGATCTGCAGGAGGAGAGAGAGAAGCGGGACACTCTTAAGACGGCCATGCTGGCGGGGGATCACGAGCGAGAGAAAGAGCATCTTCATCTCGGGAATGACACGTGTCACGACGTCCTGGTCCCAACGGAGCAGCAGCAAGACGCGAAGAGAGGTGCCAAGCTGGACTGGGACGCGTTGCCCTTCGATTTGCTCCTAAGTGTCTTCTCTGCTCTAGACGGTCGATCAGTGGCCAGCGCGTCTATGGTATGCCGGGCATGGAGCCGGATTGGGAGGAGGGACGAACTGTGGGAGAGGCTGGTGGGACAGCTGGAACTACCTCCATTCCCGCCCAGTGTGATCAGATTCTCGGAGAACGTCTTAGCCGCCCTGGGGAACGCCTGCTACTCTACTCCGCCCCCTCCTACTCCGCTTGGACAACCCGTCTCTACGTATCAACCGGCTGCTGGCGATCGTTCTACTGCAACTCCCCCCACCTCTGCCATCACCATCTTCTCCTCCTCCTCCTCCTCCTCCTCTTCCTCCGCTTCCTCCTTCCCCTCCCTCTCCCTCTCTACTTCTCCCCCCACCTCTTTCCCCCCCCTCTCTCCCCTCTCTCAGCCTCGCGACCTGCAGCAGCTGCGCGCTCGCTGCCCACCCTCCGGAACTATCTCCTGGCGTGACGTCTTCCTCGCTAGGTCTCGTTCAACCCGCTCGATGGTCATCGACCTCGGCTGTGGATATTGCAAGTTTGGGTGGAGTAATCAGCCCTCCCCGGCGGATATCCTCTTCACGTACGTGGAATTTGGAGATGTGGAGCTCTCTACGCCGCCCATGATCAAGCGGCTGTGCCATAGTGTGTTCGCCAACATGCAGGTGGGGTCGGAACGCCCGCATGTGGCGGTCATCGAGCCCCACTGCGGCTCGGCGGAGGACCCCGCCGCTGCCCGGCGCAATTTGCGCGGAATCATCTGTAATGTCCTGTTCCGCAAGTACAAGGTGCCCTCGGTCAGCCTCGTTGACCAGGCCGTCTCCGCAACCTTCGTGTCTAACCGGGTCTCGGCAATCGTGGTTAATATCGGGTTTAGATCCTGCACCATTATGCCGGTCTATAGGGGGAGGGCGCTGCACGACAAAGGCCTGCTGATGGTGGGCCTAGGCTCGCTGAGGGTGACCACGGAGCTCAACGGTCTGTTGAATCATGATGGACTGCGCCTGCCCAGCATATTTACGGTCAAGGCCATCAAGGAGCAGGTGTGTTATGTGGCGGAGAACGTGGAGGAGGAGGTGGCCAAGAACCTCCCCAAGGTGGAGGTAGATATGGATGCCCAAGGTGGCAAGTGCTTGATCGGCAATCAGAGGTTCCTAGCGACCGAGATACTATTCGAAGGGGGGGCTCCGGGGGGATGGGGGGCGTCTCCGAGCACGGGGCGGGGGATGCATCAGTTGATGGCCAAATGCATGCAGGAGTGTGCTCTGCTTCCGGTCCACAGCCAGGAAGACCAGGGATGGTTCAAAACCATCATCTTCAGTGGAGGATCAGGCGTCTTCAAGGGGCTGACCGAGAGGCTGAGGAGAGAGCTGACGAAGCTGCTGCCGAAAGAACTTCTAGATGGCCTTGTCATCTTGCCCCCGGCATTGGGCCCCTGGTCCACCTGGCAGGGGGGGAAGCTGGTGGCCAACCTCAGCAATTTCCCTGACGGATGGGCCATCACGAAAGAGGCTTTCAATAATGACCCTGGGGTTATCCACAGACCTTGTGGGGTGTAGTATTCTGGCACAAGGTAGGGGAGGGGGGAGGGCTGAGGGTTGGAGGAAGGGGAGGAGAAGGTTGGGGGGAGGGTTGGAGGAAGGGGCGGGGTGAGGGTTGGAAGAAGGGGTGGGGTCCACAGCAAGGAAGACTACGGATGGTTCAAAACCATCACCTTTAGTGGAGGATCAGGCGTCTTCAAGGGGTTGACGGGGAGGCAGAGGAGAGTGTTGACGAAGCTGCTGCCACAATAACTTGGAGATGGCCTCATCATCTTGCCGAAGGCATTGGGACCCTGGTCCTCCTGGCAGGGTGCGAAGCTGGTGGCCAACCTCAGCAAGTTCCCTGAAGGATGGGCCATCTGCGACAAGGTAGGGGAGGGGTGGGGAGGGGAGGGCTGAGGGTTGGAGGAAGGGAAGGAAAGGGGTGGGGAGAGGGGTGGAGAAAAGAGCGGGGTGAGGGTTGGAAGAAGGGATGGGGCACAGGGGAGAGGAGGGGGAAGGTGGCCGCTAGGGGTGGGGAGAGGACCTGATCATCTCTACCTTTGTGTTCGCGGGGCTTGGAGAGCAAGTAGGATGCGAGGGGAGGGGGGAAGGAAGGGAAAGGGGGGAGAAGAGAGAAGCTCAATCCTTTCCTTTGGCCTTTGACAGGCACTAGCAGTTTGAACGAATCGGATGGCCAGGTGCATCCAAATTGCAGTCTCTTTCTGCGTTGCTAAGCTGGTACGTCTATCTGTCCCAAGCCATGGCCTCTTTCTGCACCGGCACATCCTTCTCGAGCGACAGCGGCTCGGACAATAGATCGGAGCATCGGCCTAACGGTGGTTTAAACTTTAAACCACACAAGCTGCGCTGCAGCATCACAGGGGTTCGAACCACCAGTACCAAGACGAGAGGCCTTTCTGGAGCAGCTGGCCATGTGTACAGGCAGCTCACTGCAGAACTCCATGGGGTAGTCCAATCAGTCGTACCCAAGGTTTTCCAGCCGGTGAAAGGCCAACGGCCGACTGAGTGGCTGGTGGTGTAGGAGTCACATACACTCCCTCTCCCTCCATAGCCTACCACACACGCAATACGCAATGTTGCAAAAAACCATGTTTTCCACATTTCCAAAAACGATTTGTCAGCTTCTGAAAACAATTTCCAAAAACAGTCTTTTTTCAGAGTAGATATATATAATAATAATATTATAATAATAATAGATGCCCTGCAACACCATCAATGTGCCCCCTGCCTAATACTGCTCCCATTTCTGGGTTCAGCCACCCCTCTAGTAGGTGCCACGAAGAATTCTTGTATACTTTCTCTAGTAGATCTTGTCCCGGAGGGACATTTTCTCCTTCTCCCTTTTCAACAGTCCGGACATTGTGCTCTGAGCCCGGCAGGATTCCCACCGAATCCGGGATCCCCATGTGGCTCCATAAGCGCCATGGGGCCTCTCTAGTGGCATAGTGCAAAAGCGGCCTTAGAATGCCGTTCGTACACAAAGTGCGAAATGACTCCACCTCCTGGATCGCCATTTCCATCTCCTCTGTACACACTCTCCACCCCCACCTTTTGTGCCACTGTAGACTTGCCACATCTGGAATGCACCTTGCTACATCTAGACTGGTAATGCATGGTACCGTGATTCCTGTCTGGTTCTGAGTTCTTCCTCTCCCAATCCCTGCCCCACTCCCCCCACCACCCCCATCCTCCGCCCGCTCCTTACTCTCTGCCTTCCATTCTATAGGCTTTCTCCCATCATCCTTACTGAATGACTGCCCTACGTTAACTACATGCAGTTACCGTCTGCCCTACATTAACCACATGCAGTTAAGTGCTGGAGGACGTTAGCATGTAGTTAACCTGTAGTTAACATGCAGTTAACATGCAGTTCACCTGTAGTTCACCTGTAGTTAATCTGTAGTTAACCTGTAGTTGACACATAGTTAACATGTAGTTAACATGTAGTTAACATGTAGTTAATGTAGCGGGCAGTTGAACTTCCCAACCACATGAAGTAACGTCCCTTGTGGGGGTAGATGAGTTCACAGATTGAAAGGACAATGCTCCTTGGGAGCTCTCTCCAAGTGCTCACAGGCTGACCGCCAAGCACTGCCGGTTGAAGGATTGCTGCAGCCTAATAGGTAGCGGACCCTCCGAGGATCAGGACCCCTGCTTCATTTTCTGCCAGCAGCACAGTGTCCAGAATCGAGGACGTTGTTGGGTGCTCATGCGGTACGTTCCCTCTACGCTTCTCCCTCCACTTTGTGTTCCTGCAAGCCTGCAAGATGTTATGGCCTTACCTTAAAGAAGTTGAAGTTTATGTATGTATGGATGGAGTGACTCATTACTCCCCCCCTCCCCCCCTCTCCCCCTCTCCCCCTCTCTCTCTCTCTCTCTCTCTCTCTCTCTCTCT